ATACTACAATCTAGCTTTTAATTCAGTGGAAGAAAAGAAAAGAGGGATAATTAGCATCTATTGTGCACCTGATTTATGCCAAACATGCTCACGTATACTTTTTCACTCTAGCCTGACAAGAATATTGTGCAGCAGCTTTAAATTTAGAGATGAGAAAACTAAGGATCAGAGAGGTTAATCCATTAGCTTTAAGGACAAATGGTAAATTCTAGAACTGGAATTTGAACCAAGAGCTGTTCTGACTTCAAAGTTTCCACTCTACCATGTAGCTCAGTCTTCTGAAATATCCACTCTTGAAAGGGTCTTAGAACTTTCAGTATAAACGGGCATTAGTCAGGATTCTCGGAAGCCTCTGTTGTTTCTGCACTGAATCTTACTGGGGGAAAAAACACAAGCAAACAAAACAAAAACCCCACACCAAAGGACCCCAAACACCCTCCAACAAAAAAGCCCTTCTTTCCCTTCCTTTTGAAATTCAGCACCAAGGACAGTTCCTGAGTCATAGTTGCCAGAAGCTGTCCTTGGAGTATGTATTATTGAGTTCCCATCCTCACTCTTGACTTCCCAGTGGAATTGAGAAGAGAAGAGGAAATGTGAGGCAGGATGAGATGGGATTCTCTGACACTATGGTGGAAATAAGCACATTTCCCAGAAGACTGAGATAAAAATGCATGTGAGAAGAGCAAGAGAACCAAGCAGATGGGGCAGTAAAATGGAGGCGGAATGAGCTCATCAGGATTCCCAGCACAGTTTCAGTCCAGGCTGGGCTCTCAGCTGCCCTGAGAGCCAGGAGACATAGTGAATGAGTGGGTGGCTATGATGCTGCAACATCACTTACACTAAGAGACTCGGTGGCGCTGATTCACTGTTGCAGAGCTGCACGACTTTTCAAGTGGAGGATAACTCTGTGGGCCCTGGTCTCTGCCACTCACGTAGGTACCCGGGTGGCATGAGTCAGACCTGCAGGAGTTCTCAAGTAGACAAGGTCTTTGTGCTGTGAGTACATCAAGGGCAAGCTTTCATGTTACAAGCGCAGGTTTCAACCATAGCAACAAACTCTTCTTATGGGAAGTTTGACCTGCTCTATCCGTAACTATTCTGCCTCCTCAAACTCACCCTTGGCTACATATGGTCCCTAATACAAGCAGGAATAACAGGAATCTGGAACATTCTTTACATTGAACAATTATTCTTTTCTTCTCCTCTCCTCTCCTCCCCTCCCTTCCCCTCTCCTCCTCTCCTCTCTCTCTTTCCTAGCAGCTCTTGAGTATAGCCCTGGGAGAATCTAGTCTTAATGTAAGAAAACCAAGAACCACAGACTTGCCCAACACAACTCAGCTTATGGCACAGCTGGTATTTGGATTTAGTATCCTCGTTCCAAGCACATGCAACTTTCCTTTGCACCAGGAAGGCAAAATGAAACCCTCCACAGTCACAGTCTATTAAGTCCTCTAATTATACTGCCTCCAAAGATAATAACACCTTCAAATGTGTTAGGTCTTTCCATCTGAGATTTGGCTATTTCACTGATCACTTCCTATGTAGGAATCTCTTTTAAGAAACATAAGAGTAATTATTTGCGAATGTAAGTGTCATCATTTTTATGTTCCCATCTATTGCTTTCCTGGAGTAGGAGGAAATTAGAATTCCGAAAAGCAACTCGATTTTATTTAATTATTAAAGTAATAAGCCTCTATTTTAAGTACTTGCAAATATAAATGCATTGGTCCATAGCAAGAAAGGATAAGAAGAATCGTGTATGCTATGGTTCTATTGTGGTATCTGATTAAGCTGCCACCCAGGCGTTGTTGTTTTTTTTTTCATTTGTGGACATCAACCCTAGGAGTGAAAGTCAAGAGCCATGTCTTTATTGGGCTAATTCTGAATAGGGCTGGGTCTGGTGCCAACCAACTCAAAGCTGACACTCCAGCAGCTTTTCAGAGACAGTAAATCCAGGAAAAGAAACTGCTCATCCTTTTTCCACGAAGCAGTTAGTGGATTTGAACTGCAAGCCTTTGGGATTGCAGTACGGCCTCTTACCATCAGAGCTCCCAGAAAGCCTATGGAGTCTCCAAATCTTTTTTTTTTTCCTTTTCCTTCTTTTTTTTAAATTAAGATTTTAGTGAAAGTTTAAAGAACTTAGATTTCCATTCATTTATTGTTGCACATTTTCCTCCCTGTCCCCATCCTCCCCAGTTTGCCTTTTTTGATAAAAAGAAAAAAGTTCTTTCATTGTTATACATTCCTCCCTCCCAGATCACTTTACTATGAAGCTCCTATTCTGGACTCTTGTCATACCAATAATACCTAATCGTATGTTCCTTTTATACTGTTCTCTCCCTCATCTGTTTCAATGCCGTGTACATTATTTATCCCCTCTTTCCTTAGAAGTTTCCCCCCAATCCGCATGTCAGTCCTGTTTTATAACAATGGCACTATGCAGTATTTGTCCTTTTGTGACTGAGATATTTCACTCAGCATAATGTCCTCCAGGGTCACCCTTTTGTATATTTCATGAGTTCTTTGTTTTTCAGTGCTGCATAATATTCCATCATGTGAATATACCACAGCTTCTCTATCCATTCGTTTGTTGATGGGCACTTGGGTTGTTTCCAACTCCTTGCTATTGTGAACAAAGCCGCGATAAACATGGGTGTGCATTCTAAATCTTAATGTTCTAGAAAGTGCTTGCTAACTTTCATTCTCAGCTGTGATTCTGTGTGGATGTGGGTTCACTTGCACTTTTAGAGTTTGGGAAGAGCAAGAGAAGCAGGATGGGGTGGGATGATCCTGGACAAGGTCATGTTCACAGGTGAAGCTGATCCCTGCTGGCGGTGCCACCCACCCACAGGGACACCGGCCGTTCTCCAGGTCCCAGCCTGACCACCAGTCCGCACTCCAGGCTGCAGCCTGACCACCAGTCCGCACTCCAGGCCACAGCCTGACCACCGGCCAGCACTCCAGGCCACAGCCTGACCACCGGCCAGCACTCCAGGGCACAGCCCATCCACCAGCCCGCACTCCAGGCCACAGCCTGACCACCGACCAGCACTCCAGGCCGCAGCCCGTCCACCAGCCCACACTCCAGGCCCCAGCCCGTCCACCAGCCCGCACTCCAGGACCCAGCCCGTCCACCGGCCCGCCCTCCAGGCCACAGCCTGACCACCGGCCAGCACTCCAGGCCCCAGCCCGTCCACCAGCCCGCACTCCAGGCCCCAGCCCGTCCACCGGCCCGCCCTCCAGGCCACAGCCTGACCACCGGCCCGCACTCCAGGCCACAGCCTGACCACCGGCCCGCCCTCCAGGCCGCAGCCCGTCCACCAGCCCGCACTCCAGGCCACAGCCTGACCACCAGCCCGCACTCCAGGCCACAGCCTGACCACCGGCTCGCACTCCAGGCCACAGCCTGACCACCGGCCCGCCCTCCAGGCC